GGTACAAGTGTCCTGACGTGCTTCCCTGTTTGTCAAGGGCTCAGGCGAGCAGAGCTCCTGTGTGGATGAGCTGAATGGTTCAGTGCTGCCCACACTAAGAGCAACCACAGCAGCTCCATCCAATGCTAACCTCAGTCTCAGTAATACAGCAAATATCCAGGGGTTATACAAACGAGCTTTCTCCATGAACAACTCTTTCCTGTGACCCACGGTTCTGTAGGACTTCTCCACCAGCCAGTCAGGAACAGCAACCTTCATGAGCTGCTGTGGGTCAGCTTCCCCACAGTCCCCTGGGGTGACACAAGCCTGTCCTCAACCACAGACTTTCTGATACAGGCAACATTCCGGGAGCTCCTCTCGCCTGTAGGAAGAACAGGTCTATGTCCACAGGGTTCAGCTTTCCTAAGAGCAAGGCTTCCTACCTTCCTACAGGTGGTTAGCACTGACTCCCTGGGACTAGTCTGGAAGAAGCTCTGGATAGCTTCTGCCAAGCTCTAATATCCCATTATAGACCCTTACATCCTGAGATGATGAGAAGTATGTGAAGTCAAGGCCACAGAAAACAAGCTAAGCTGAGCTTCAGGACATGTGGAAGAGGCCACGAGACATGGCCACACGGCTAAGTCACAGCATTGTGGGTAGAGACAGTTTCCTGCCTCCTGGCCATAGCAGGAAAAAGAGTCATGTTTTAGTAAGCTGTGGCATTTGGAGCTCCCAATGTTCACTCTGACCAGGATTTTCAATGACCTCTGTGCAGAAGACCAGTGGGTACCCCTGACCTCATTACTGAGGCTTGGGAGTGAGACATGGTTCCTGTCTACTTCTTGCTTATCAAGAAACAGAAACTACAAATCCCTGCCCCCAGACTACAGAGCAAGTCGGGCTGTACCTGGTGCTGGGAAGCATCTGGGTCTTGATATGTAGCCTGCATATCAAGCTCTTGACAAGCTGTAGCCCCTGGGAAGTTGTCCAGCCTGTTCCTACATGCGATGTTGGACCACAGTTCTAGGAGAGTGCCCATGAGGCCAGGCCATTTCCCTGTATGTGGCTAGAGCCATGGTTCCTAGTTATACCACCCCTACTGGCCTTACCCAGCTTACCTCAGACCCCTCCCCTCCTCACCAGGGCTTCAGGTTGATCAGGACTTCTGGTCAAGAGCGTTAATCTCCCATCGACTATCTCAATGAGGAATAATTACCAGTTAATACTTCTAGGAAGTCAAAATTTTAGCTCCTCCAGCAGCTGTGATTTGAAGCTGTTTTAGAAACCTAGACATGACAAGCTACCCAGATACAACCCTCAGTCCCAGCTGTCTATGAACCACCCCCGCCAGTCTAGGTGGCAGTCTGGGGCAAAATGCCCCACATTCTTAGATCCTTGGCCCAGGCACTTTATATGACGCTCCTCGGATGCAGAGGTGGGCACATCCACATCTGTACACATCTGCTCCCTCTGTGCCTGGCAGGGAGCACTCGAATCCCATGGGAACACGGCTCCAACGACCAATGCACACAGAGGGATTCCCCACTGTAGACATCAGGAATCTGCCCCTCCAGCCTTTGTGGCCTCACATGGTCACGGTCCCAGGGCTCCTGTCATAAGACGGCAGAGTGCTGGCCAATGAGCAAAAGCAGAGCCCAAGTATGCACTTTCAGTGGCAGAGTGCATCACAGCAGCCCCAGAGCCTCCCACAAGTACCAGACTGGGTCAGACACTGAGTGCATGGCATTTGCCTACTTCTTGAGGCCTTAACCCCTGAGATGACTCCAACACTTTCTGCAACACAGGAACATCCCACTGGCCTGTGCCTCCCTTCCCTTCTCTGTTTAGCGTGGGAAGTAAACTTCAGCCATGTGCCTGAAACATTATTCCAAGCTCCCTCAGGTTGGGTCCGCAGCCCAGTTTTGTCTCCCCTCTCTCAGAGGCATTTCGGACAAGGTTTCCCGGGGCCTCTGATAGATCATTCTAATCCCCTTGGGTAAGAACCACTTGTCACAGATTATGTGGGGGTCAGTGAGACACCTGCAACTTCGGAAGCAGGGAAGAGGCGGGGATTCAATGCCCCTTGACCATTTGATCTTGGGGAGCCTCAGTGCTCCTTGAGATTTTCCCAGGATTGTCCTTGGTGTTCCTGCATCAAAGTGGGCCCTGGGTCACTATGCACTTCTCTGCCAACTTCTCAAGAGTCAGACTTGGGTCCCAAAAGCCAGACTCAGGGCACAGAGAGAACGAGGGGTAACAGTGATGTGCTGTGATGATTGACAGCCCGGCTACCCTCTTCCACCCTGGCACCTCCAGGGCCTCCCTTCCAGCTGTTCTGTGGGTAGTCCAGGGAAATACTGCTTCCTCTTGGGGGCTCTGAAGCTTAGCAGGTGAGGATCCCATCACCTCCCTGGAGCTCCATATCTTCCCTGCAGATGGCTTACAGTCCGTGTGTCATGTTTCTATGTCGACTGGGAATAGGAAAGGATCTAGGCTGTGACAAAAACATGAGGAGTTTCTCAAAGGCTAACATCTCCCTTTCACTAGCAGAAGGAGGTAAGCTTTCAGATGAGGTGGCTCCCGGTCCAGGTCAGGGGATGGCCTGGCTACCCCTGCCATAGCAGGACCAGGAGAGCTAAAAGGTTTAGGTCCTCCAGTTGACTCCAGAGAATTCTAGATAGGTAGAAGGAATCAGGATAGGTGGGCAAGCTTTTCCGTTCTGATGAACCTGTAGACAAGGTGATAATGAGGGTTGAGGGTTTTTGTTTTGTTTTGTTTTGTTTTGTTTTAACTAGAAGCCAAAGCTTGCACAGCGAATTCAGCCCTGGTCTAGAGTTCAGCCCCCAAAGGCACCACAGGGTCTCACACTGCTCACTCCCATATTTTCCAAGGTTATCTCCTTCTGAAAGGTATGATACGTCAGCACACAGAGAATGGTGGGATAGATGTGGGTAGAGGTAGTGAGTCACACTGTGAAGTTCAAGTTTGCGCAAGATGACCACACACAGCCCTCCACAGGCTAAGCACCCTTGTCCTTTCCTCTTACAACTATAGACAGCTGTGGAATGTCCATGGACACGGCTCTCATGGCCTCCTGAACTCATACAAGCAGATCCCTCAGAATCCAAGTTAAAACTCTACCACTAGAGTGAGCAGAATGCTCCTTCCTCGGGCTAATGGAAATCCGTGTTTAATTCACAACAGAAAACAGGGACTCTTGTCTTCTGTGCAATTTCCTGTCAGCTTTAGGGGGAGCTGGAGAAATTAAATATAGTCTGGTGGAACAGTGCACACATAAGGAAATTATCCTAAGCGGAGCCCCATGGATGACAACTCATCTACGCTGAGAAAAGCCACCAGCCAATGCTCCCTGAACGACAGCCCCATCAGTCCTGCCTCAAAGCCTGTGACCACAGTAGTTCTGACGTCACACGCTTCTCTCTAAACCATCACTTGGTTATTGCTAATAAACCCGTGCTCCTCCTTTTAGATTGCCCCCAGGCAAGGAGCCACATAGGTGCTGCCACACTGCAGAGCTTCTGGAAATAGCAAGGATGGCCACTCACTCAGGGCAGGACATGGTACCCAAATTGTCTTAGATGTACATAGATGCACAGACCACTGCAGCTCAGTAACAGAGTCAAACGCAAAAGAGCAGATGAGAACCCAGACGAGGAGATACAAGTCCCCCAAAGGTCTGTTGCAAGCCTCTGCAAGCCTCTGGGAGTTCATGGTGTGGAAGCTGTGCAGTGATCAGGGCTGGTCTCTTCAAGGTATAGCTCCTGGGAGGACACTAAGTTGGGCAGAACAGTGGACACTGTAAAAAGAAGGATTTGAGAAAGGACACAGACCCAACTCTAACTGTCCCCATTGAACCTTCCAGACAGAAGACACGAGGTGAGGATAGAGTACCTCCCAGACCTGGGAAAGGGCTGCTTAGTACAGCCCAAGCTGCCAGGCACCAGCACAGCAATGTGGCTTCAAGAATTCCTGAGTCCAGCCGGGCGGTGGTGGCGCACGCCTTTAATCCCAGCACTCGGGAGGCAGAGGCAGGCGGATCTCTGTGAGTTCGAGACCAGCCTGGTCTACAGAGCTAGTTCCAGGACAGGCTCCAAAGCCACAAAGAAACCCTGAAGAATTCCTGAGTCCAGTGAGGGTAATGACTGGGCTAGAGCCTCAACTCCAGGTACGACCTGGCCAGGGGCCACAGCTAGATAAGGAAGACCAGGAAACACAGCATTGTTGACTGTAGATACTTAAGTCAGTCCTGCTGAGACTCTGCTCTTCCCACCTTAGAAAGGCCTTATCATGAAAGAAGAACAAAGCAAAGAGGAAACAATGCAAGCCAGAACACGCGCCCGCACGCGCACACACACACACACACACACACAAAATCCAAGATCGCGGCTTCACTTTAGTAATTCCACAGCTACACCAGAAGCACCTGCACTCTCCAGAAAAGATGCTCTGGCCCTCAAACTCCAGAGACACACACTTCCTCGTCAGCTAAATTGTGCCCCTTTCTGAACACCACTGCTCTCAAGTGGGGATTCCAAGGGTATGCTTTCCCATGACATGAACAAGAGTCCCAGGTTCCCAGTGAGAACCAAGAAGTTCAGAGACATCAGCTGGCCACCAAGAACTCCTCAGCAAATGTAAGTGGTAATAAGATACACCTGGGCATCACCTTGGACGCCTCAAGCCTGGAATACTAATATCATAGTCCCAGCTGATCCCAATCTCTGCCTCATAGCCTCTTCACCAGCTCCTCCTGACCGAGAAGTGGAGCCATCAATCCACCCCTAACTTAGGGCGTGGGGATTCCAGTACCTCCACGCTGTCCCCCTCTGAGATACTATGCCAGATGCTGGGAAGGGACGGGCTATCCTGGCTCAGGCCAGCCATCTGAGTCATGGTTTCTGTATCTCCCGGTGATAAAAAGGAACAGCTAGGGCACTTCTCCCAGTCCTGGGAGACCCGCGGTTGCGCGCGACCCCGCCCACCACCCGGTCACTTACCTGCTTGTCCCGTGCGCGATGTTCCACGCCGCCGCTGCCTCCTGCGCGCCGTTCGGTCTCTTCCGCGCCTTTGCGACCACTCGCATACGCGGACACCACGAAGCTGTCCCCTGTGGCCCGCCCACAGACGCGTGGGAAACACGGCACCCACGGAGAAGGAAGGAGACCGTAAGCCCCGCGGGGTGCGCTTCTGCCAAGTCCGCCTCGAGGCGCCCACCCCGTCCCCAGAACCCCGGGACCATGCTCTCCCGCAGACCTATGGCGTGTCCCACCCGAGGGCGCGAGGCAAGGCGCGCCCCAAGCTTGGAGCTCTGCGCATCCGGCCCGGGGGCCGCCTCGCGCCCTGGCTGCGCCGGGGCTTACCTTCGGGGCTCTCTCTCCGCTTGCAGGCTGCTGCAGCTGCGGCGCGGCCGAAGGACGCGGGGAAGAGGGAAGGGACAGTGAGTGGCGGAGGCCCCCGCACCCTCCTCCATCGCCACCCTCCCCACCCGCTCTGGCCCGCACCTCACCGTGCTTGGACTGAAATTTCCCCATGTCGCCGCCGGGCCTGGACCTCCGGCCGCGCTCTCAGGTGCACGTCCGAGGTTCAGAGCCCGGGGCGGGTGGGTAGTGCGCGGAGAGCGACTCGTGAAGCCTGGATCCCGGACGGGGCAGTCGGACGAGGCTTGGCCGGGCAGCGGCCGGACTCACTCTGAGAGCGCGCGCCCGCGACGGGGCTTTAACAGCAGCTCGCGCAGCGCCCCCCGCGGCCGCGGCCCAGAACGCACTGGACCCCTGTGCTTTGGGACTTTACTAGGCGGTTGGGAACCAAAGCGACTACACTCTACCGTGTTACACATAACCAAGAAGACACACAGAGGGTACCTATGAGGATAGACAGGGCCTGCAGTGGACTCCGAGTTTCTGATTGTCTGAGGTTTCTTGCGGGAGACACCCTCCACCCCTTTCCAAATGTTGGTCTTGAGATACCAAATTAAAGAGGTTCGTGAGTGTTAGAGTCCTCCTTTGGAAGGGAGAACCCAGGAGTCATTTAGGTCTTAGAAATGCTTCTTACTTTGGCTGGAAAGGGGATAGACCCAGGCTCTGCGAAGGGCGGGCAGAGATAGACCACAGGAAGGTACCTGGAAGAAAGGGAGAGCAGGTAGGACCAAACTGTCCTGGTCTGCTGGACTGGATCCTTTTCCCTTCCTTCCCGAATGTCTGCCTAGCTCTGGCTTCTTTCAATTCCACATTGATGAAGGAGCAGCTGGGCCCATCAGCTTGAACTGGCTTTGCACGCTCCTCTTTGACTTTGACTGGGGCAGGGTCCTTGCTAGTCCTTAGTTGGTTCACCTGGCTCTAATCAGCCCCTCCCTGACTGGCTAAACTCTGAAACCTGTCTGTATCTCCTCCTGCAGCTTCTCTCTTGGAGGGGATCACCCACTCTTGTTCTTTGGCCTGCTTAACTTCAGAGATACCTTTCTCCCTTCTTTCTTGAGCCCCAGCTTGTTCTGATGATACTTCTCTGGTTCCCTACAGAGCCCTGTCTTCTTTAACACAATGGCTTCAAGAACAAATGCATCATTTTCTCTGTATGCCATGCCTGGTACACAGCCTCTGTTCTTTTCAGCTTTCTTGAGATGTTCACATCCCCGACCACTCTCCCACTCAAGATCCAGTGGCCATTAGTCTGTTCATAGGTGTGACAGCACAGTCTAGAACGTCTGACTTCTAGAGTAATTTATCTTTAGCACCTACTTCCTCCAAAGAACCCCATTCCCAGGAAACAATAAGCCCCCTTTCCCCCTTTCTCTGTGTATTTTCCTATTCTGGAATTTCCTACAAATTGACTCATTTGATGTGTAATCTTTTTATGTCCTTCCTCTCTCTCTCTCTCCCTTTCTCTCTCTCTCTCCCTTTCTCTCTCTCTCTCTCACACACACACACTCTCTCTCTCTCTCTCTCTCTCTCTCTCTCTCTCTCTCTCTCTCTNCCCTTTCTCTCTCTCTCTCTCACACACACACACTCTCTCTCTCTCTCTCTCTCTCTCTCTCTCTCTCTCTCTCTCTCTCTTTGTCTCTCTCTCTCCTACAGGATCTGTAGTCCAGGCTAGCCTTGAACTTCTGAAGTCTTTTGGAGTTGCTGATACTGAGGATTCTTGACTGCAAAAAACAGGGCAAACTTTGCTTACCCTAAACAGAACCATGTCACAGCCACAGACATGACAGAGATGGGATGGACTCGCCTCACTATAAGGACTCTTTCCCCGCCAGTTCACTCACCTAACCTCCTTCCTCCTTTATCTGAGAGAGGGTGAGGAAGAAGAAAGGGAGTTCCAGGAAAGGACTTGCAGATCAGTGTCCGCAGCTGTATCTGGGGAAATGTTTGCAAATATAGCCATCACCACCATTGAAGTCACATTGAGGAAGGCTCCAACAAGGACAGGCTCCACTGTCTCTCACAACCCAGGCTCACCTTTGAGCAAACCAGCTGAGGTTGGCTTAGTCCATATCCTCTGCTTCATCTTGTTTAGGTGTAGGGAGTGTAGCTTCCCAGGTGATGGAGACAGAGTTGGATGGAAGTTTCCAGAAAACCATGCTATTGTTTCTACCCTCCCAACTCAGCCATGTGGGTACATTATCAGCCCATGGAGACAGGATCCAGCAAAACACTGGACAACAGCTTGGGCTGCATGGAGAGGCTGGGACTTGAGGCCTGGGAGGCAACCTGGGCTGGGAGTGGATTTTCACTCCTTGATCCTGTGTCCAGGCCTGTCTCTGTCCCTTGAAATCGTCCCTTTCACCCCTATGCTGCTGTGGGCTCTGAACCTTGAACCAAGGGCATTGACATCAAGAAAGAACACAAAGACTGTTATGTGGCTTCCTGGGGAGATATAGAGAAACGTCTTTTTGCTCCCAGAGTCCAGACAGACTAAAGACAGTTCCATCCAAGAGCAGCTCGGCGAATTAATTAGTTTAGTAGGGTTATTCACAGGAGCACAGGGGATAAGCAGCAGAGAAACCACCTCTGGCAAATGTTTGCTTCTTACATAGTATCAGAGAGGGGAGGCGTTTAGGGAGGTCTCCATGAAGCTTTCTTGACCCTCATGACTTTCTGTCTCCTTCCATGATAGGAAATAATATGAGGATCCAGAGCAGGTGGCCACAGCTTCTCTGCTTCAAGACAGCAATGCTATTTCCAACCTGGAGGAAACTGCTATACTACAAATCCACATGCGTGAAAGCCTGTCCTCATCCAAGTGACAAAGCAGAACCCATTTAGAGGGAGACAACACCCTCCTTACATGCAGCCAGCCTGACATGTCCTCTCTGGTTCAACCTCTGCCCCTAGACACAAGGGTTTCTCAGTCTGTTTCCACCTCCCATTTCTCACTGCCAATTTTTGAAACAGCCTGAGCTTGGGTCCCTCTGGCTGGAGCAGCAGTTTCTCTGCTCAAATGCCCTTGTTCCCCTGGATGCCCAGTGTGGGAAGGTTGAACACAATTGGGCCAGCTATATGAGGACTCATCTCTGCCCAATATCCAGCATCCTGTGTCCTTGGGTCCTGTCCATCACCTTGGGTCCTGCATCCCACACCTAGTATCCTCCCTTACTCAGGCCTGAGGCTCTGGGAAGAGTTCATCAGTTGATAAAAATCAACTCTCAGAACTTTCAAAGAGCAAGGCTGTGCCGCGGCCACGCCTGTCTCATTAAGTTGTGGGCTTGAAGCTTTTCAAAGCACTTTGTCATTATCTGTCAGAGGCGGGTAGGGCAGTGCCCTTATCTCCAAGATGAAGAGACGCTGCCTGGCGTCCATCCCTACATCCAAGCTACTCATGCTGCTTGCTCATGTTGGTGTCCCATGCTGTGCCACCTCCAACAGGGAAGACTCCAGACCTCCAGTAGTAGTGTGTACTCTGCTCTTCGAGGCTAAATGAAGCGTAGTTATGGAGGGCCCTCCACAAGGACCCTCCACCTTCCCACTTCTGCCTGTGGTGGTGATCTCCAGTTGGGTCTGACTCAGGCAGAGGAAGGGGACAACAGCCTTCATGAATTCTTCAGAAAAAAGCCCATTGTGTGTGTTCTTCACTGGGTTAGCTTGCATCACCTCTTATCTGTGGCCCCTGAGCTGGCTGTTCTTACATGGTGCTCCACTGTGCAGAGGGGCAGGCTTGTCCTGTTTCTGTGGTCGTCTTTTGCTATGGTTGCTGGTAATCGTCCCTCTCCCCTCTTCAGAAGTGAAAGGAGGCCTGTGGTGTGTGTGGTGCTCTTCAGCCAGCTGCAGGCAGAAGGGGAAGAGGGAAGAGCAGAGGACCCTGGGTAGAAGGTGGTTCTGGGGCCCAGAACTGGGTGCTGCTGATCCTGCCCTGTTTGAGGTCTCTCAGCACATGGGCAGACTGCTTGAACTATAGACCAGGGCATATACAAACCAGCCTCCTTGTGAGCCTGGGGTCTTGCTTAGGAAATGGGGCCTGCTTTAGGACAAACATAAAATATTAGATGACAGAGAATATGCCAATCTGTCTCTTCAACCTCCTCCATGCAGATTTCACACACATGTAGAGACTGAGAGAATTTTCTTCACACGGTCTGTGTGCACTTACTGCGGCTGGATCACTGCTTCTGATGCAGAGTGCTCTCAGTCCCCAAACAGGCCCATGCTCTCTGCACTCCCCCTCTGAGGCACAGAGCTCTGCTACAGTGGAGGTTGTTTGCGAAATACTAGCTGCCAGCTCTCCACAGGCATCTGTCCACTTTGTACCAAGACACTTTGGCATTTTACAGATCCTTCTAAGGCCTGGACAGAAAAGCCAACACGGGTTCACAAACACACAAAGCTGTGTCCTCACGACTATCACCACCTAGGAGCTTACCCTGAGCACAAGTGAGTTACAATGCCATTGCTGGTGTGTCAGCCGCTTCAAAGCCAAAGGGAAGTGAATTTGAGGTAATGAGCCCTACCCCAGCACATCTGCAGGTTTCTACACACTGGGGTTTGTGAAAAGTTCACCTCATCACCCTGCCCGAGAGTCACCCCCAATAAATGAAGTGTGTGACTCTGCTACTCAAACGAGACTGAACTTGTGGACGGAAAGGAACTGTAGTTTTCAATATCAAGCAATATTTGTGCAAACCTTTAATGCAAATTTGGATTTACAAATCCAAGAGGGAAAAGTCTAGCCTATTTACCAAGTGGCTTTCCAAGCATGTCTTCAGAATAATTTTGTGTGCTACTGGTTTTAGTCAAAGTTGTAAAACAAGGGCACGTGGAAGGGCTAAGAGAGCATAGAGAACATGGAGGTTGAACCATCTCATATCTTAAGCGCGAAGGGCAGACGCCAGCAGGAGAATTGGGAGGAGGAAGGCAGTTCCTACAGGAAGCACAGGCTGGGCAGAGAGCATCTGAGATAGTCCTTGTGGAACGCTGTGTGAAAAGTGAGTATAGGGGGAGACACCTGGGAGGTTGAAGCAAGGCGAAGAAGGCTCAATTTTGCAGACTCAAGCTCATCTGGAGGCCTAGGGGCCTTCCCTAGGACAGAAGCTGTTCAGCTTCCTCCACACCACAGCTCCTTCCCTGTGGTAATAGAATCTCATAGTTCTGGGCTTCTGAGGCCTCGACAGCTGGCTATGCCCCATGATGCATTCAGATCAAGGGGGTGCTCAGGTTGCTTCCAGCAGACTCCCTGATAGAGTAGCATCCTCTCTATGCCCTAGGACATAGAAAAGCTTTGGAAATGGACTGCCCTCCCAGAAGGCTCTCTGTGCTGGACATCATTACCTGCTCAACTCCAGGAAGCCTTGAGCCCCCCAACAGTGACTTCAGTGGGGACTCATGCCCAGCTAGGTCAGAGATCTGGTGCCACCCAGATAATGCATTCTCCAGAGCCAAGGACCTAGGCATATGCCACCAGGTCTGCAAGAAGCCATACATTAACATAAAGAGCTGTAGTGAGGTGACTGGGTAAGCTGCCCCAGACTTCTGCGAGGGGTTCCTTGGTAAAATGAAATCTTTTCTGTCTTCCTGAATAAGAGCAACCACAGCTGCTGTTTACCCCACTGAAAGGCATTGTGGAATATTAGTTTAAGATGCTTTACATTAGTTTATGCTGTGGAATATTTGTTTAATTATGCAAATATGTGTGGCATTCTTTTATGTTGCATTTGTTTAACTCTGTAAAGCTGTGTTTCTTTGCCTGCCTCAAACACCTGATAGGTCTAATAAACAGCTGAATCGCCAATAGCTAGGCAGGAGAGAGAAATATGCAGGCATGCCAGGCAGAGAGAATAAATAGGTGGAGAAATCTAGGCTAGAAAAAAAAGGAGAGCAGGGAGGCGTGAGAAAAGGAGAAGGGAGCCGGGGGCAGTCACCCAGCCTTACAGCCATACAGCCAGCTATAGAGTAAGAAGGAAAGAAAAATATATAGAATAAATAAAGGTTAAAAGTCCAGAGGCAAAACATAGTTAAAGAGAAACAGGATAATCTAAGTTAGAAAAGTTGGCTAGAAACAAGCCAAGTAAGTTAAGGCTGGGCATTCATAAGTAAGAATAAGTCTCTGTGTATTTATTTGGGAGCTGGGTGGTGGGACCCAAAGAGTAAAAACAAACAAAAAACAACTACAGAAAGGCCCAGAACCTGGGCCATGATGGGAGGTGTCCACCCCTTAGGCTCAGTGTCAGAGGTAATGACATCTGA